TGCACAGCTTGCTCAGCCTTTCGTCTGAGCGTGCCGAGCAGACCCTGGGCAAAATCGAAAAAGGGGAAATCCCACGAGCCATTCAAGGCGTAGGTGTTTTAAAGCGTTCCTCTTCTAACCCTCTTCGTCCCCTTCGAAGAGAGTTCATCACTGATCTTATTAATATGCACCTCCTCCCCCGACCTGCGACACACCCAGGCCAATGCGGCCCCCCCTCGCCATCCATTTCGAAAAACCATGGGGAGTGCCATTTGCGGCATAATGCTTGATCATGTTCGGGGGCCTCGCAAGCATGTTGTAGAGTTGCTCCGCACAACTTACGTGGGGTTCTTGTTTTGTCTGGACAACCCCCACACAGGACGGAACCCCACACCCTCATGCTCACGCGCTGGTATAATTATCAACGTCGCCGTCATCATCATCATCATCATCATAATCATCATCATCATCATCCTCATCATCATCATCATCATCGCCATCATCATCATAATAACCATCATCATCATCATCATCATCATCATCACCCTCATCACCATCCTAATCGTCACCGTCATCATTGTTCTCATCGCCATCATGAACTTCATCGTCAGCACCAAGATCACGATTAACGCCACCGCCACACCCTGACACTTACCACGCACACGCTCACCTGCAGGCCATCGGGAAACCAAATAACAACACACATGAATTTGGTAACACCTGGGAGCCTGAATCCCGGAAAAGTCTCGAAGAACCCCCCCTATGCGGCCCGCGCTTCATGTTGGTAATCCGGGGCGGTCCTCAGGAGACCGTTCAAAAACACGCTTGAATCTCAAGAAAGTCTCGAGCGGGAGGCTCGTCTGTGAGTAAACCGCGACGAAGTCTCGAGCGGAAGCCCCCTCCCTATGGAGCCGCCCCCTCATGTTGATAACCCGAGACGGCCATCGGGATACCATGTGAAAACACAAGTTTGGTGACACCTGGGCCCCTGAATCCAAAGAAGGTCTCGAGAGGGAGCCTCGCTCCAGAGCTAATTCAGAATGGAAGACTTGAGCGGAGCCCATCCCTACGGGGTCCCCACCTCATTTTTTTCCTCCGGAAAAAAAACGGTTGAATTTGAGAGGCGTTTTATTCCTCACTTACAGCCGCTGCGAAGTAATATACATAATCCCAGTCCCACCAGCTGGACACTCACACCATGAGAAAGTTAACAAAACTGAAGAACGGGGTGCGCCATGTGCCTGTACCCCCCGAGGCCTAGACAGCCGTTGATACGTTCCACATGAGCGAGCTGGAAGATACAGAATGGCCCAACCAGCCAATTCACAAAAACCAGCACGCCATGATATAGGACGCGGGAGGGGGGAAGAAGAGGGGGAGGAAGGAGGAGGAAAACACAACGCCCACAAAATGGGGACCAAGCTGAGGCACAATGCGGAGCCCCGTGAGTCACCACGCAAGCCTGCACGCCAACGAATTACAGTACACAGTATGATATGCAAGTGAAGACCTGTAAAAGCGAAGCGCCAACTCAAGACGCGAGGAAACTGGGCGAGCAACGCACACCAGAAACTAGGAGACAACATAACTAAGCTGTGCGGACGCGGCATGGCCGCCAGGAGACACGCAGGCGCCAGCGACGGTGCGGGCCAGGAGCGGCCCCCTACGGGGTCCCCACCTCATGCTGGTAATGCGAGGCGGCCAGCGGGACACCCTGAGACTATCCGAGCGCAAGACACAGCAAGATGCAAGTTAAAGAACTGCAATTGTGAGGAGAGTTTTCGGCGGAGCTTCCTGTGGGACTACAAAACGTGTAAGGGGTGTGCCAACTCGGGTGCGGGCACGCTGTGCTCACTGTGCCACTCGGGCGTTCGTGGAAGCCGTGGGGCCACGAAGCTCGTGAGTGCTGTGCCGAATCGGGTGCGGGTACGCCGTGCGGACTGTGCCACTGGGGCCTTCGATGGAGCTCCCGATGGCGCCACGACGCGTGTGAGGGGTGTGCCAACTCGGGTGCGGGCGCTCCATGCGGACTGTGCCGCTCGGGCCCTCGGCGTAACTCCCTATGGGACCACGAAGCGTGTGAGGGGTGTGCCCGGTCGGGCGCCGGCACGCCCTGCGGACTGTGCCACTGGGGCCTTCGGTGAAGCATCCCGATGGGCTGCGAAACGTGTCAGGGGTGTCCGAAATTGGTGCGGTGGAGGGCAGAGGAAGGGATGGGAGGAGAAAGGAGGGAGAGGAGGAAAGGACGCTGGGCATTCTTTTCAAAACGAGGGCGCGAAACCACTGGATAGTTGGGAAAAGCGCAATCTTGGCGCAACAACTGGGAGCCTGAATCCAGAGGACGTCTCCAGCGGGAGACTCGTTCCTGAGCAATTTGGGACGACGTCTCGGGCGCTCGCCTGTCAGCATATTGGGTGGAAGTCTCTGGCAGGAGCCCCTTCCCTATGGTGTCCCCGCCTCACGCTGGCAATCCGAGGCGGCCATCTGGATACCCAGAAAAAGCACAGGCTTGAAAGCATATGGGAATCTTAATATTGAAGAAGTCTCCAGCGGGAGACTCGATCCTGAGTGAGGGGATGCCTCGGTCGCTCTCTTGTCTGTGAGTGACTCGTGCGGAGGTCTCGAGCGGGAGCCCCTCCGTACAGGGTCCCCACCTCATGTTGGTAATCCGAGGCGGCCATCTGGATAACCAGTAAAAACACAGGCTCAGTAACACCTGGGAGTCTAAATCTTGAAGATGAAGTCTCGAGCGGGAGCCTCGTTGCTTTGTTGTCGAGCGTCCTTTGCAATCCAAGGCGGCCATCCTCAATCGAACCTATGAGCGTCGGCAAGAAGCAGAAGATACCAGACATGAGGAGAGTCTCCGTAGCCACACGGACGCCGACGAGGATGACTTCCATATTAGTTTGGAGTATTATCATGTGGGACCCTATCGTCTGAGTATTTTCCCAGAAAGGGAATACTTCCAGGATTCTCTTTTAGTTGTGTTCCACTGCCCCCGGTGCCATATTCGAGGAAGGTCGGCGATTTCCGGTCGATAAACAACAAGGTAGGATCCCAATTCCAATTGAAGAGATGTGGTTCGCGCGTGCCCGCCCGAACAAAACATACACAGACTCACCATGCCGAATCCTCGACGGATCTGGGGATCCGGAAACCCCTGTTTTCCTTAGCAAGACACACGATGCGGAGCGTGGACATCTGCATAAAAAAGAACGGTTGAAACAGTTGATGTTGTGCGTGCCCGCACGAGGCTGGCGCGTCCCTGGACGCCTCGAGCGAAACGCCTGTTTCGAAGAAGCGCCTCAGGTCGCCCAGGATGATATCTGACAGAAGGATGTCTCGGGCGGCTCGCTTGCTTTCATGTGTCCAGGTCGCCCAGGTGGATGTCTAACATGAGATGTGTTAAGGATGTCTCGAGCCAAACGCTTGTGTTGACATTGATTCCTTTCGCCCGTGGGCCTGAACTGTTTTTATATGGGTTCCTTTCGCTTGTGAGCTCAAACTATGTACTTGTAGACGTGTGTCTTTCGCCTGTGGCCCCAATCATGTGTTGCTACATGATCCCTTTCGCCCGTGAGCCAAGCCCATATGTCTTGACATTCGGTCTTTTCGCATGTGTGCAACAACCATGTTTTTAACACGGGTTCCTGTCGCCCGTGAGCTAGCACCTTGTGCTTTGCATGGGTCCCCTTCGGCCGTGAACCAGAATGTGTTTTTACATGTGTGTCTCTCGCCCGTGACTTATTTCGCCCGTGAGCCAAACTCCGAGGAAGCCCGAGGAAGCTCCAGGAGTCCCCAGTGAGCCCCAGGAGGCCATGGGAGGCTGCACCAAAGGTCCCCTCTGCGAAGGGACGTGCAGTCGACTGTGGGCCTGCACCAAGGGTCACCCCAGCGAAAGGTCAATCTTACCGCCGCGCCGACTGGATCTGAGAGAGCGCCAGGCTCTGAGCAACAAAGCGGTCGCACGGCTTGAGCCAGCCGAGGCATCCGCATGAGGCCGCGTCCCCCCCAACAAGTGCAGTTCCCCCAGGCAGCTTCCCCGGGTGGGATGGCGGGGCTGCGCGAAGCGTTACGCACTCCTCATCCTCGGAGCAGCCAGCTGCAGATCCTCTCCGTCCAGGTCGGCTTGGATCCCGCTCCTCGCTCCTCTCGCGCCGATCGCCTCGGCTCCCCACCGCGCCGAGACCGCCCGCGGGGCTGCTGCAGCCCGAGTGGCGATCCGAAGGCCATGCGCAGTCCGAAGCCGCGCTTGGCAGCCGAAGCCGTCAGGCCGCCAGAGGCAAACCCTGCAGCAGCGGGGAGGGGGGGGAGCGAAGCGAAGCGGAGGCCGGAGCGAGCTCCTCCAGAAAGCCCGCCCGTGCCCCTCCGGGCATGGCGTGGAGGCAGTGGCCTCGTTGGTGAGGCTGGAGTCGCAGCCTCGAGTGCGGCCGCGGCCAGGGCTCTCAGGTGTCCTCCTCCTCCTCCTCCTCCTCCTCCTCATCATCATCATCATCATCATCCTTTTCCTCTTCCTCGCGGTCGTCGTCGTCCTCCCTGTCGTCTCTACTGGCTGTGGCGGAGGTGACCGACGCCCCAGCCTTCCGGTGGCACGCCTGCCAGTCCTCCGACCACGGCGACGACGACGAAGGCGGACGACGACACCCGGAGGTCTTCAGAGGCCCCTGCGGACCCCTGGAGGCCTTGGGGAGGGCCTCCGGATGCAGAGACAAACTCAGAGATTAGGAGGAGGAGGAGGAGGAGGAGGAGGAGGAGGAGGAGGAGGAGGAGGAGAAGTGCCGTAAGATGGGTCCCCCCCCCGCTCTGTGTCCTTCTCCCTCGCCTCCGGGTCGGGTATACCGCCCCATCGATCGGCCACAGGGGGTCCACGTCTAACACTCCTCCGCCCCTCTACACTAAACCCCGCTTGGGTGTGGGGGGGAGGGCACCCATCCTTGGGATGCACAGGCCTGCCCACAGCAGCAGCACAAGGACGACGGCAACGACGTCGACGGCGACGACCCCCCCCCCGGCGGGCGCGCCGGCAGCTGCTGCGACAGGGGCCACGGCGTCGCCCCGGAGCCGCACGCGCCGCCTGGAGGCGTCGCCGTCGCCGGCTCGGACGACGTCGTTGTTAGTCGTCGTCGTCGTGGTAGTCGTCGTGGTGGCCCTCGTTGTCGTCACTGCCGCTGCCGCCGCTACCGCCGTCGACGCCGTCGTCGTCGACGGCGTCGTGGTGGCCCTCGTGGTCGTCTTCGTCTACGTCCTGGTGATCGTCGTGACGATGGTGGTCGTCGTCAACGAGACGGAGTCTCGAGGATAAGTGGGTCGTCAACGAGGCGGAGTCTTGAGAATAAGTGCGTGTGTGGTGTTGGGGCTCACCTTGTTTGAGGGAGTTCTGAAACCGCCAGAAACCCCCAGTGACCTCCAGAGAACTCCGGAGACATTCAGGCGTCGTCGTCTCTCCTCCTGGAAAATGGGTAGAGGGAGGGAGGAGAGAGTAGAGCGGGAGCAAGGAGGAACAGGGACGAGGGAGGAGAGAGATAGAGGGCTAGCAGTGTTGAAGAGTGAGTAGGGATGGAGGGAAGCAGGAAGATAGAGGATGGAAGATACGACGAGGACATTGTCCAAGTAGCCCAGGCATGATCTGACAAGTTTGGCCCTGTTGGAAATGTCCAGAGATCTATGGAGGGACCCTCTTGGGAGCAATTTTAGGCCGTCGGTGAAAGCCTCTTGAGGCCTCTTGGCTGCTTTGTGGGTTCGTCCTGGGGCTACTTGGGGGAGAGTTTGAGGTCTCAGGGGCTCACCGGAGGCGAAAAAGCGAGAAGGCAAACAACAAATCATGTACTTCGAATATGTGTGTTTCGAATGCTTCTGTCTTATCAGATGTGTCCTGGGGGTCTCCTGAAGACCTTCTGGGCTGTCTTGACCGTCTCTTGAGCCGTCTGGAGGCTGTCTTGAGCCGCCTGAGAGCCCTGGAAGCCGTCTTGGGGGTGACTCGGGGCCTCCTTGGGCCGCCTTGGCGACTGCCCCCGCCCCCTCTCGGAAGCGATTTGGGGCCCCCGAAGAGAGGGCCCGGCCCCCCAGCCCCACATTTGTTGTAGTGGGCGTGGCCCCCGGGCCCCCCGGGCCCAGTCACACGTTATATGTATGTAGGGAGAGAGAGGGAGAGGGAGAGAGAGAGAGAGGGACGGATGGAGAGAGAGAGCGAGGGAACAATGGGAATTTCGAAAGAGGAGAAGGGAGGGAGGAAGGCTGCGACCAACTGTGTCAGATGCGACCGAATTTAAGGGGATGTGCGGGAGACGTACAAGGAAGGGAAGAGGAGAGATGAGGAAATGTGAGGGGGGAACGGGGGCAAGGGCACTAACTTCTTATGAATGGCGCAACGTTCCACACAGGGCAAACGCAACCTGTAGGGGAGGAGTGTGATGAGACGCAGAGTATGGGGAAACATCTGATGCTGAGGAGGAGGAGGAGGAGGAGGAGGAGGAGGAGGAGGAGATGGGGATGGTCGATGACGGGTGCGAAGACAAAGAGACGACGATTGCGGAGAAGGAGGGGAGAGGCTGTAATAAGGACAAACGCGCTTGGCACGGACCCCTCGGCCATACCGACGGGATTGCAAACAAATGCCGCTACCACTACCCCCTGGACCTCTCCCATTGTGCGTCCTGACCAGACTGTCCAGGATAATCCAGCCACGGCGACGAGGTTCTCTCAGTAGGCCCAAAAAAGGCACATCGAAGGAAGGGCAGCGGTCTCGGTATCTTCTCCTCCACTGACAAGGAGCCCCCCCTGGGGCCGCTTCCAGACCCAGACATCCGACGCCGTGACTGTTTAATAATGGTGTGGTTCCGCCAGGGACTGGGCCCCTTCCGGCTGCACGCAAGAGTGACCCTAGGTTAGAGTGACCTCCAGTGCGCGGCTTTTGGGGACCGCCCGGGGAGGGGGGGGGGGGGGGCAAACCCTAGCGCGCAAGACGCCACTGCCGCCTCGCGTTCGGCGATCGGGGGACCCCAGGGGCCCACACCAAAGGTCACTCTGGCGAAAGGGTCACTCCTACGTGTCGTCGACCAGCGCACTGCCAAGCGGCCGCTCCCAAAACGCCAGCTCACCCAGCATATCGACCGCTTTTGCGTCGCCGGCGGCGCTCCACGTTGCATGCCGGCGGCGGGGTCGCCGCCGGTCGACACGGCGCGAGGCTACCGTACCCATGCCGGTGGCACCGACAGCGAGGATTATGTTGCTCCCATCGTACTTAAAGACCACATCCCAGAAATAATTTCGAGCACCCGGAAAAGTGTCGAAAGAGTGTCGAAAGAGTGTCTCCCAGGGCCCGACACGTGAAAACCCTCGAGTTATTGGGTACTTTCCTGGTGCTCGAAAGTCTTTCTGGTGATCAAGGCTGAAGTAGGTTGGAATATCACAAAGCGAGGAGCCCCCCCCCCCCGCCCGCCCCCGCGGCCGCCGCCCGACGTCTCGCCGCCGAGCGTCTCGGCGGAGGCCCCGGTCAGGGGGCCGCCGGCGGCGGCGTCGGGCGCGGAGGCTGCCTGCCGCCTTATGGCGGGGCGCGGGCGCGCGCGGCCGCGGCCGTGGCCAGGGGTCCCCTCGGGGTCCTCGCGCCGAGCAGCAGAAGCACGGAGGGCGCTTCTGCGCCAGGTTTCGGCCCCTGGGTCAGGGGGCGACTCCCGGGGGGGCCTTCGCGGTTGAGAGAGGGCTGGGACCAGGAGGCCCGATGGAGGGGGCCACCGAGGCAGGTCAGGCAAGACTGAGAGAGGGTTTATGGCGGATCGGGTGGGATGAAGCGGGATGGGCTGGATCGGATTGTGCCGTGCAGGGCCGGTTTGCGACCAAGGACACACAAGCACCGATGCTGCTTCCAATCTCCCAGGAGCTACAGCCGATGCAACGGTAGACAGCGTATGCTGTTTTGGGCCAGCGTTCGATCCCTGGGGAGCCTCAACTGGTCCCCTGGGGCCGTCAAAGAAGCATTCGACATGAGAGGCTGGTCACAGGAAAGGGGCCCAGCTCTCTGGGAAGCCAATGCGGTGAAAAAGCACGACGGCAGATGCCTGATAATGAAAAATGAGATGAGCTTTTTGGGTGTGCGTTCGTCCTGCTGTGGCCTCTGGAAGCAAAAAAGATCCTCCTTCCCCCCTGCTCATCCGTCTCCACCTCCTCCTCTCCACTATCCCTTTTGTGCAAGCGCAGCCAGTTGATGTCCTCTCTATCTTGGTTGGTCTGGCTTGACGCTGCTGGGTCTATGGGGTGATCCTTTTCTATCCCTCATTATCCTCCCCATCCTCCCTTCTCCTTAACCCGATGCCCCCCCCGACCTTGCGCCAGTGCTCCTACTACTCCACGTCCTGCTCCTGAGTATGCTGAAAATCCTCCTCCTTGTCCTTCCTGCCTTCAAGGAAGGGGGCGCGGGTGTGGATGGGGGAGGTCGGGGGAGAAGAAGGAGAAGCGGGATGATGGGGAGGGATGGCGGGAGGAGGGAGGAGTAGAAGAGTAAGACAGATGAAGCGGCGGAAGGATCGACAAAACAAGGTAACATCTGATGAAACTATTCCTGGCATCGTAGCAGACGGGGTCACTGCTGGCACGAACCTTGCACCATGTGTTTTCAAGACGGAAGGAAGGGAGAAGGAGGGGTGATGATGAGGTGGGAAGGACAAAAATGATAGCATTGTGTGAGGCCACTCGAGCACGAGAGGTATCATGTACCAAGCTGCTTGATAAGATGGAGGATGGAGCAGACGGAACCAAAGAAGGGGGAGGAGGCGTGGCGAGGAGTGAGTAGGGAGGAGGGAGTAGGACCAGGAGCAGGAAGAGTACGAACAGCTTCAGGTGACGCATTGCTGGCGTAAGGCTTCTTTGGGTTCCAGGGGATGAGGGGTAGCAGGATGCAGAGGATGCGGAGGGGGAGGAACAGAGGCTCTATGGGGAGGAGGGCGAAAGACGGATTCGAGGACGGTGGTCTGAGACGCTCAATCGAAGACCGCTTCGTGCGCTGTGGCCTTGGAGGCTAAAGGCCACTGGTGTCCTCAGACTCTCTCATTCGCTGCGTATCCTACCCAGGGACCAACGGAAGCTCGAACTCCATCAGCGATTCAAAACAGGCGGCCCTGGCAGCTCAAAGTGCTTCGAAACATGCGCTGTAAAGGCACTGCGATATTCAGGGAGTGTGGTCTCAAAGGCTCAATGAGAGACTGGCATCAAGCACCGAACGTAGATTTCCAGTAGAGAAAGGAGGAGCAACATGTAGATGAAGGGGATGGGGAGGAAGATTAGACGGAGAGGAGGGGGGGGCTTAGCTGGACTTCAGCTGGGATTCCGGCGCTCTTGCATTGCCTCCCGCAGGGAGTCTTGTAGTGCATTGCCTCTCGCAAGGGCGGGGGGAGGCATTGCAGCATTTCAGCTGGATTGCACATGCATGCGCTTCGGGCGGACGTGCTTCTTCCCAAGTGGTCTCATGTCCTGCTATAGGTTTCATTCTCGCATGGCCAGTAGCTTGTTCCCCCTCGGCCAGATGGAGATCTTCACAGGACAACTCGGTGTCGTGTCAGAGTGTTTGCCCGCCGGGGTCGGAGGCGTGCAACACCACTTGTCACAAATTGAGAGCTTGCTTGTAGACGGCTTCGTACGCATCCGAAATTTGCTGCCTAGCCTGACTGTTGCCAATACGCCTGCATATGCCAATCGCCTCGGTTTGAACCGAGATCTCTGGGCCTCCATCGAGGCCAGATCAGACTGACAAGCTTAGCGTTGACCCCAACATGAATCGCTCTGCTCGTACCCCTGAGGTTGCCCGTTCACGTGGTCTCATGCGCCTCTCTCGCAATGGGGCTCGGAAGGGCCTCCTCAGCTCGCGGTTGCGCTTGACGTCAGCCAGCATTTCGTCCACGCTGGTAAACTGCGGGCAATATTGACAACAAAAACCAAAACCATGCCAACCCAAAGGTTGAACCCAGCTTGTTCGGCCATCTTCGAACGCAACGCCTGCTGCTGCCATCAGCATGCGCCAAAGAAACTGCACATCGTAAAATCTGGACTGCGTCGCACCCCACCGTGCGTCCGAATGGCGCGCAAGGTGCTGTGCGGAGCAACGTGAGTTTTAAACCGATACGTATGCGTCGCAAGCATGTGCTGAGTACTCCCCCTCCCCCGCTGCTTCGCCTCCTCGCCCTCCCATTCTTCTGCATTGCCCAACGTACCCCGTTTTACATCCTGCTCCCTGCAACCATGCATGTATATACATGCATACACGCATGTGCGATTATGTGTACATATTTGTGTACACGTACATAAAACATATGTATGCATACATAAAACATATGTATGCATATATCTATATGTATATATATATGTGTATAGATGCGCGCGTGTGTGTAAGAGTATGTGTGTGTGTGTAAGATTGTGTGCGCGTGCATGTAAAAACACGCATCTACATGTTAACTCTCGAGATCAGTGTACGACTACCTCTCGCTCGAGCCCGTCCCATTCTACCGTTGTCATCTTCTCTGGTTTGACTCTTCGCGCCTTCTCACATGCCACCTGCGACTCCGGCTCCTGTGTGTAATCTGGCCGTAAAAGCAGCGGTCTTGGCCCTCATCCCGCATTCGCCACGCTTCCGCTCTTCTCTACCGGGCGACTGCAACCTGCGCCGTCGTGCCAACATTGATCCGCGTCGCGAATGACATACATTTGGTCGCGGACTCGGCGCACGCTCGAACCGGTCAACTACACTAAAAGCTGACAGTACGGACGCGTGGTAAGGGCGCAAGACCCTTGGACGCCCAAGTTGGTTTCGTTTGAGCGGCGCACGGGGAAAGTCCCAAGGACGCGCGGGTACCCCAACCGCCCACCGTCATCGCCGAAGTGTCGCGCCGCGCAGTCTGAGGACGCCACCAGCCCCCGGGGGCGTCCCTGCGAGGCTGGCCAGCGAGAACGGCCAAGGACGGGCCGAAGACGCAAGGATGCAAGTGCACCCTTAGAGATGTACTCCTCCGTTGCAACAATGTTTGTCACTGTGTTAGTGTTAGGCAAGAGCGAAGCGAATTGTGTACCGGAGAGACTTTAGGAACGGGGGGAAGCGCGGCCGCGGAGGGGAAAAGGAAAGGCTGCGCGGTCAGAACGTGTAACTCTTGAGGCGGAGAGCTGCGGCCTGAGGCTCCAGGAAGTCCTGCAAAGGTCAGTGCGGCGTTGCAAGGAAGCTCGAGCTTGCGGGCAGACATCCTGCTGATCTGGGCCCTGAGTGGGCCCTCGTGGGTAGAGCATTGACATGCGTGTACGTATCGTGCGTGTTGTGTCTGCAATATTTTGGCTTGCCTCTGGTGGGGAAAAGCTCCCCACGATATTGTTTCGCTGACGCGAGGAAATGCCGCGAGCTGAAGGGGTCGGGGTCGATGGGTGCCTGAGTCCCAACCCAGCCTGCCCTGAGGCGGACTCGCGCATCGCACAATCTGTCCCGGAGGCGGTGGGGGAGGCGGATGGCAAAATGAAATCAAGTAAGCGTGATGTCGAAGAGGAACGAAATACCTGAGGGGAACAGTGAGATGGAGCAAATGAAGCACAAGACAATCCCCCTGCCCGCTTTACCTGTGGGGGGACAAAGAGGGGGAACACTGGAAGCACAATGCAATATCCCTGCCCGCTTTTCCCCCCATTCCAATCAGGATTGAATGCCGTGGAAAAGAGGGAGCGGGCGCCCCCTCTCCAGGACCCCGATCTGCATTGGCAGTGCGGAGCGTGCCGCGCAATAGCAGGCGCTGTCGCACCGGGAGGTACTGAGGACAGCACCGGCGGACGCTGAGAGGTGAAATATGTCCACGGACGACAAGGCACCGGGCGGTACGATCAGACGGTTCTCAGGCACAGGTGCCGACGCTTTCAAGGAGTATCGCTCGTGGAAGAAGTGGTCGAGAGCTTATCTCATCGTGCAGCAGGCCAAAGAAGTGCCGACCGCGGCGCTGGGGCCCATACTATTCACGCTGTTGGACGACGTAGCTGCTAAGGCGTTGGAGGTGATTGATCTGGACGACCTTGAGCAGGACGGCGGCGAGAACATAGTGTACGAGACTCTGGACAATCGGTTTCCAGATCTAGCGGCTCACTACAGGCTGGGCGAGGCACTCCAGGAAGTGTTCACGCTGAAGCTGGTCAAAAACGAATCGATGGCGGCGTACAGCGGGAGGGATCAGGAGCGTTCAACAAAGGTGAGTCCGAGGGCGTGGTCCTGCCAGACATGGCTCGAGGCTTCCTACTGCAGCAGGGCATCCACATGCCGCCGCAGTGCTGGCGGCATCGACGAGGTCATTCAAGGAGCAAGACATGGCGACGGCGCTGAGGACGACATATCCACATGGAACGGCCGACTTCAGTCAGCTGAGCAAGTCTTATGGCGCACACATCGTCGAGGATCCCGACGAGAACCCAGACATTGACGCTATCATCGCCGGGTACGAGAATGCCGAGAACGACGACGACACCATCCTGGACGAGAGCGAGGCCATCGAGATCTTGGTGACGTGGCGTGATCAGCGAAACAAGATCTCGAAGGAGCACCTGTCTCGGGGTTCGGGCCGAAGAAGCCAGACATGACGGCAATGGCCAAAAGGGTGAGGTGCTACAATTGCGACGAGATCGGCCACTTCAGCAGGGATTGCAAGAAACCTCGACGTCAGCGACGGCCACCGCCTCGAAATGGAAAAGGAAAAAGCAAGGATTAGCAGGATCACCGGGCGGACGTAGTCATGGTGGTGAACGACGACGAGTCTGAGCCAGTGTACATCGCGAGCGACGGCAAGGACGAGTCCTTCGAGTGCGAGCTGTGCGACGACGACTACGTCGCGACGATCGACGAGCTGAGGGATGCGTTCGAGGCGGAAGCGGAGTTGTCCGACTCGGAGGTCGGCGAGGTGATCGCAGAGTACCGGCGGCTGACGTACGATCCCGAGGAGGAGATCCTGGAAGTGCTGGCGGCGTCAGCACACGAAGCTGAGTCCCGCGTCGTGGACACCGGGTGCGGCAAGGGCCTCATCGGTGAGGAGACGCTGGAGGATCACAAGGCGGTCATGAGGAAGGTGGGTCTCAAGATTAAGAGCATCAAGCAGGACGAACCAGTGGTGTACAGGCTCGGGAACCAGGAGCCCCTGACCTCCACCTACACGGTCGAGCTGCAGTGTCGCGTCGGCGGCAAGCTACTGGTGTTGCGCGTGTACGTCGTTCCTGGAAGGACCCCTCTCCTGCTGAGCAAACCCATGCTGAAGAACCTCGGCGCGGTCATCGACATGGAGAAGGATGAGATCCACTTCGCGAGGCTGAACGCGTCGGGGCCGCTGAAGGTGGCAGCCAGCGGCCACTATCAGCTCAACCTGTGTGAGACGACGAACGAGAGGCACAGACAGATTCAGACGGCAGAGGCGGGCGTGATGACAGCAGAGGAGGTGTTCGACATGTGAAGGGGCCCTGGGACACACAAATATATACACACAACTATATATATATATATATTCCCAAGATTTTCCTATATTTTCTGGGTTTCTGTCTTCCCCCCCCCAAGCCCCATATTTTCCAATATTTTCTGGGGGACCGACGATTAATTGTGTCTGTGTGTTTTCTTTTCCTCCTGAACATGGAGAGGTTCGTCGCTGAAGCGACGGCGGGTTTTCGCTGGGGCAGGGCCGGAGCCCAGAGGCCGAACGGGATGGCATGACGTCTGCATGGGGCTGACGTCGAGCATGTCAAAGACGGCATGGCATCCGCAGGGAGTAACGTCGATGATTTCGGAGATGGCATGACACCTGGCCCCAGTCCTCGAGACCATGGGCTTCGAGAACCTCGGCTGGTTCGACCTCGAGAACGGCTGGGATGCTAGACGAAATCAGGACCGACATCACATGCTGCACCTGATCCGCAACGAGGAGCCGGACTACGCCGGCATGAGTCCTCTGTGCGGCGCCCTGTCGCAACTGCTCAACTTGACGATAGACGATGATCATAGAGATCTGGCGAAGTACAGGCAGGCGGTGAAAGAGGCAGTTGGATATCTCAGGTTATGCGGGGTCGGTACTTCGCGATCGAGGCTCCGACGTCTGCCAAGCCCTGGAGCTGTGCATCCATCGTGGCGCTATGTGCTTCCACCGGCGTGCACCGTATGTCGGTCAGTGGCTGTCAGGTCGGTCTCAAGGATCCGGAGACCCAGAAGCCGATGTCGAAGGAATGGTGCTTCGCAACCAACTCGGACATGATGTGGTACCTGAAGGAGCTTCGCTGTCCAGGTGGTCACGAGCATTAGTGGTGTAGGGACAGCTCGAAGGGGATCAAGAGGAGTACGTTCTCTCAGAAGTATCCAGATGGGTTGTGTCGGCGCTTGGCGACTGCGTTACTGTCAGCTGGAACTGGAGAATATCGACTCCGGCCCTGAGGCGTTATCGACACGGGAGGATGAGGAGCTCATCGAACGTCGGAAGCGCACGCTGGAGAAGTCACAGAGGAGGCTCCACGGGAATCTTGGTCACCCGAGCAGCGAAGACATGGTGCGGATTCTGAAACACGCCAAGGCGAGTGAGATGGTGCAGGCGATGACTCGGCAGTTCTCGTGTTCGGTGTGCGAGGGTCGGCGGCTTCCTAAGGCCGTGCGGCCTGTGAAGGTGCCGTCCAAGGTGGCGCCATTGAGGCTTGCCGAGATCGATGTCAAGGAGTTGCCCGGTTGGTCAGAAGGCATGAAAGTGAAGGCAAGGAGTGTCCCAGCAGGCCTCCAGAAAATGGCTCCCTTCTTCGAGGCCGAGACCGGCAAGGTGCTGAAGGAGCTGTTTGAGACAAAGTGGTGCGAGCCACACGGTGCCCCAAAGTACCTCAAGTGCGACGCCAGGCGGACCAACCTCGGCCAGGACATCCTTGGCACTTTCGAGAAGATGGGGATCGAAGTGACGGATGCCGAAGGTGAAGCTCGTGAGCAGGTTGGACACGTTGAACGCCATGGGGCCTGGTTCGAGGACACTCTCAAAAAGGCGATGGATCAGATGCTACCCAAGTCCAAGGAAGAGTGGCCGGCCTGCGTGTGAGCCGTGACCCTCACGAGCGGCGAACCTATCCGTATCCGCGCCCTCGCGGTCTGCAATCCGGGGCGCTATCCCGCGGATGCGCGGTCGCATGGAGACGTGCCGCGCGCGGCATCCGCGCAAAGACGCCCCATATCTGCGGGGTCGCGGCCCAAGGTCCCAGCCCGCGAGGCCGCAGGAATGGAAATTTAGTGTTGCCCAAGAGTAAGAACGATGCGGGACTGCGAAGCCAAACAGAAGGGCCAGTAAGCCTAACCGGGCCGGAGAAAGCCCGAGATTATACGCTGGACGACACCGGATTAAAATGGACTGTGTGGGATTCTGCGGGAGGGGGCCGTTATTCGGCGGCGGATGCACGAGCGCCGATGCTGAAGGCAACCTCTCAGGAGCTGCATCCCAGTCTAGGGGTGCGCGATCTAGAGCTGCATCCCAATCTAGGAGTTGCATCCCAATCTAGAGTTGCATCCCAGTCTGGGGGTGCGCGATCCGAGGGGAGCACGGATGCGGACACGTCGCCGAGCCGTTCGTCCTCGACGCGCCCACGTGGACGACGCCGACGCAGCAACAAAAACCCACGGCAAACCCTGCGGCCCACGCCCCCAAGGAGACGACGCACGGCAGCGCGGCGCACACGCACGGCAAACCAAGCGTGTCCGAGGCGGCGTTTGCCCTGGCGGCGGCCTCCCCGAGGCGCAAGGCCGCGCGTCGGAACGAGCGGCGCGGCGATCAGGGGATTCGGCGTCGTCCTCCTCGTCGTCGTCGTCGGCGGCGTCGTCGTCGTCGTCGTGGTCGTTGTCATGATCGTCGTTGTCGTCGTCGCGGTCGTCGTCGTCGTCGTTGCCCGCGGGTTGCCCAGGGGGCTGCGGCGTCGTCGTCCTCGCCTTCGTCCTCGTCGTCGCCGTCGTCGTCTTCGTCGTCCTCCTCCTCCTCCTCCTCGTCGTCGTCGTCGTGGTCGGCGTCGTCGTCGTTGCCCGCGGGATGCCCAGGGGGCTGCGGCGGCGGCGGGCGGCAGCGGCGCGCGGCGCCCGCGGGCCTCGGCCAGAGGCCCCTGGGCCCTCGCAGGGCTGCCGGGCGGCTCCGCCTCCGGCCTGGGGCCGCGGAGCGCCTTCGGGGGGCGCGGGCGGCATGCATCGCGGCCTGGCCATCGCGCGTCCTCCTCCTCCTCCTCCTCCTCCTCCTCCTCCCCTCCTCTCCTCCTCCTCCTCCTCCTCCCTCCTGCTCTGCCTTCCTTTCCTCCTCCTTCCTCCTCTCTCTTCTCCTTCGCGCTCCTCCTCCTCCCTCCTCCTCCTCTCCTCCTCCTCCCTCCCTCCTCCTCCTCCTCCTCCTCCTCCTCTCACTCCTCCTCCTCCTCCTCCTCCTCCCCCTCCTCCTCCTCCTCCTCCTCCTCCCCCTCCTCCTCCTCCTCCTTCTCCTTCTCCTCCTCCCCCCTCCATGCGCGTTTCGCTTTTTGTGCGCATATTGCGTCGCAAGCAGATCCAGGGTGCTCCTCGCTGGGCCTTGCAGAGAAAACAACGCACACGTCCGAGTGATGCCAAGCTCTTCGCATCAGGGCCCCCTGAACCAGGACATTGCTCACAAGGTCAATGAGATCTACTAGAGACCTCCCAGATGGGTTCGGAGCAGATGGGTGGGAGGATCGCGCCAAATCGTCGATGCATCACCGATGAATCGGAGATGCATAGGCGATGTAATGGCGATGTCGGCGATGCATCGGCGACGTCGGGGTGGAGAAAATCGGGCTCCACATCGAGCCGCATCGACGATGCGTCGGCCATGCGGCGTGATTATCCGGCCCCCTCTACATGCTGGGAGGCCTGGAACCTGTTCTGTCCCACGGCTGTAGTCTTGTCGGTCGCGCCAACGTCCTGCTTGGGTGGCCCTGATCCCAGGCCTCCCAAGTAGGGCCCGAAAAGATGGGGTCTGATGACCATTCCACATCGCCGATGCACCAGCGTCGCGGATCGATCTGGAGCGGGATGTTCTTCACGCTGACGTCGTCGATGTATCGGCGAGGCGGCGCGGTCCTCCGACCCCATCATCTCGGACGTCATTCGGGAGGCCTCTATCTTCGAAGGACTGTTCAGAGAAGTAGGATTGGTCGAGGTCTGAGGTTTTCAAACGCTGTCGTCGTTTCTGTGCGGTTTTCCAACCTGGGGATGCCTTTCAACAGGAACGCCTGACCGAGAACATTCGGGGTGTACGCGACTCGTTCGAACGGACGCTAGACAATCGAGTTATGACCAGAAAAGCAAACGACCCAGACATATGCGACGGAATAATATTTTTTGACAGTTTCCGGCCTCTGAGAGTCGTTGCTGGGACGTCAAAAGAACGACCCAAGATGAAGAGCCCGTCCGAGGAAGGGGTCCAGACCTGTGGGGAGCCACGGTCTTGAACAACGAACAGGACGTCGGATGACTGAGACGAGGACACAGCAAATTGGGGGGGGGGGTAGCGAATTAGCAATTAGCTCATGTAGCTGGTCTTTCCCAGAGCCTCACGGCGCTGGAGGCGCACGTGTCGAGGAAGATGGTAGAGCGGTGGGTCCTCAACCAGCTGCATGGAACAAGTTTCGTACCGCCCCTTGACCAGTCCCCCATTCCATCTGCCCCGGATGCACTTACAGCGGGTCCATGTCGCGATGATTTCAAAGCGAGTCCAGCCGTGGCGAAGAGGAATATGCCCCCCCACACACACACACACACACACACACACACACACACACACACACACACACACACACACACACACACACACACACACACACACACACACACACACACACACACACACACACACACACACACACACACACATCGATGATAACACCTGGATCGGAAGAGACCAGGAGACGATGTTAGGGGAGGAGGATGAGGAAGAAGAAGAAGAGTCGGAGGGGAAAGGGGCGGAAAAGAAAGAAGAGGAGGAGGGCACGGAGGAGGTATGTGCCATCAGCGTGCAGCGTGCAGACGACGGAAGAGAAAAAGGAAGATGGGGAAGATGAGGAAGTACAGGAGAAGGAAGATGATAATGAGGAGAGGGAGGAGGAGACGGCGGAGAAGGCTGAGACTGAGACGGACCATGTGTGGCAGGTGCTCCCTCGCCCGAAGACGCACTGGAGCCGGAGGAGAATGAGGAGGAGGAGGAGACGGAGAGGAAGCAGGAAGAGGAGAAGGAGGAGGAGGAGAATAAGGAGGAGAAGGAAGAGGAGGAGCATGAGAATGGGGAGGAGGAGAAGGAGACGGAGGAGGAGAAGGAGGACGAGGAGGAGGAGGGGAGGGGAGGAGGGGAGCAAAGGTAGGATGGCAGAGCGCAGAGGCCGCCATTATGGCTGGTGCCCATCCCCCGGCGCCTCGCCGAGGGGCTGCACGCGGCGCCCGGCCACGCGGTCCTCCACGGGTGCGCGGGTGAGCGGCGGCGGCAACGCCGGCCAGGACGGCAGGGACGAGGAGAACTGCGCGCGGACCTCATGAAGGTGGGCGGCGCTGGTGAGAACGACGAGGGCGGGGGGCGAGGCTGGCGGTCTCGCGCCCGCTATCTGTCCACCCGGCGCTGGAGCACGCTATGCAGCGCGCCGAGAAGGCTCGCCCTGACCTCGCAGGGGACCTCTCCACGGGTGAGCAGCGCCGGCAGCGGCGGCGGCGGCGGCGGCGGCGGCGGCGGCGGCGACGGCGACGACGACGACGAGGCCGGACATCCTCGCGTCGTGTGTGGGTGGGTCGGAGGAGGTTGGTCGAATGTGTTTGTGGGCGTCTCTAGGCTTTTCTTGGCTGCCTTGTCGCCTCAGCTGGACTCGCATTGAAATCTGAGCCAGAATGCACCCCCGGAAAGTCCAGGGGTTAGATCCGCCGACCCTGTCGGCGTGTTCCGTTCAACTCGTCGTCGTCGTCGTCGTCGTCGTCGTCGTCGTCGTCGTCATCGTCGTCGTCGTCGTCGTCGTCGTCGTCGTCGTCGTCGTCGTCGGGGTCGTGGTCGTGGTCGTTGTCGTCGTCGCCTTCGCCGCTCGCTTCCCCCCCTTTCCCGAGGCCCGTCGCCGCTCCCCCACTTTCACCGGGTTCTCCTCCTCGATCGCGCCAGCCACAGCGAAATTGAGCAACGTTGTAGTTGAGTCGAAGGGAAGCCCCTAGCTTCCCTTTGATCCCTTGCCCGCTGGGCCCAGGGGGGGAGGGTCCCGAGGGGGGGTTCCGGGCGGGGTTCCTGGGGGGGTCCCAAGGGAGGGGCCCCGGGGGGGGGTCCCGGGGCAGATGCGACTCCCCCTCGGGCGGTTGGGCGGCCAAGAAAAGTCTCAGGACGCGGCAAAACTGCCCCAAGATAGACGATCCTCGAGGGCCCGAAATCGCCGGAGCATCGGTCCATGTCGCCAATGGTAGTCTCCAGAGTCCCCAAAACGCCCCAAGAGGCCTCCAAGAGGACTTCCAAGAGGGCCCCAAGGGGCAACAATCATCGATTTCCCTCCGGTTTTTGAAAGACTTCAGCATTCTCGCCTTGTCAGCTTCCCGACGCTCCAAGACAAGCCAAGAGGCCCCCAAGACCGCCCCAAGATGGCCTAAGAGGCCTCCAAGAGAGCCCCACAACGACCCAAGAGGGCCCCAAGACCGCCCAAGAAACCTCCAAGACAGCCGAGGAGGCCCCCAAGACGGCTCCAAGATGGCCTAAGAGACCTCCAAGAGAGCCCCACAACGACCCAAGAGGGCCCCAAGACCGCCCAAGAAGCCTCCAAGACAGCCGAGGAGGCCCCCAAGACGGCTCCAAGAGGCAGCCCAGACGGGACACCCGAACGGACATTTCGAGCCCTCGGCCTGAAAAGCTCTCAGGAAGCCCCCATGGGGCCCCTAAGAAACCACCCAAGAGGCCCCAAGAGACCCCCAACATGCCCCAACAGACCCCCAAGAGACCCCCAGGAAGCCCCACGAGGCCCCCACGAGGCTCTCAAGCGGCCCCCAAGAGCTTCCCAAGAGGCCCCCAAACTACACCCAAGAGGCCCCCGAGAGCGCTCGTCGTCGTCGTCGTCGTCGTCGTCGTCGTCGTCGTCGTCGTCGTCGTCGTCGTCGTCGTCGTCGTCGTCGTCGTCGTCGTCGTCGTCGTCGTCGTCATTATTCAGGGTCGGCGGCACCAGCCGTAAGGCCTTCGCAATATCAACCCCCGTACACAGACCTGAGGGGACGACAACGATGCGGGGCGGAGATTTACCCGTAACCACCGCTTTGGGGGATCGATCGTCGTGGACTCGGCAGGCCGTGGATATGCACAGAACGGGGCCCTAGGGGGCCAAGCCTGTTCATATCCACCGCCTGCCCAGGTCCCCACAGATCGGTCCCAAGGCGGCGGTCATGGATCCCCGCCTCGGAGACAACGAGGATCCCTAACATCATCGCGTCGAGGATGGGGTTGGTCGGAAGAGGGTGGGTCTGGGTCGGGTCGGACTCTGCGGGGAGGAGGGTGAGTCGAGGTTCGAGGTGTTCGGATCCTTTTCGTCGGTTCGCGGCGGTTGTCTTGCCTCGGGGTGACTTCCAGCAGCCGCGCCTCGCCGAGAGCGACCTCAGGGTGGCAGAAGAGTCCCGAACGGCCGCCGGAGACCCGCGTTATGAGCCGAAGGCCGACGACCACTGACTTGAAAATCACGGCGCAAGGTTTTTGGCAAGTTTCGGCCTCTTGAGGGCCCTCCTCTGGCCCCAGGGCCCTCGAGAGACGACTCGAGGTGAAGCGCCGGTCCCCGGGAAGCGGTCCAGACCGCTGGGGGGGTCGCGCTGCGAACATTTCCCAATCCGGCCTCTCTCGTCCGTGCTGGTCCCGCCCCCACACATAGAGGAAAAAGAACTATGCACATGCACCGATTCTGGCCAGGCCCATCCTGAGCCCAGGATCGGTGCATACGCCCTCCTACCTTGGCCAGGAAGGCATATGCACCGATCCTGGGTCAAGGTTGGGCCTTGCCAGGATCGGTGCATGTGCATAGTTCTCTTCGCCCGACACACACGACGTGGCACCCCAGAGGTCTGGATCCCCCCTGGGGGCCAGCGTCTCGTCCCGAGTTGTTCCGAGAATCCCTGGGCCCGGTGAGGGCCTCGAGAGGCCGAAGCGGTCAAGACCTTCCGTCGTGTTTTGTTTCGCGGCGCGGCAATGTCGGGGTCCCCCCATCCCCCCCTTCCCCAACACCCCCTGCCTCTCCACCCTCCTGCCGAGAACGGACGAGATCGTCCAAACACCTCAAGCCTCGATCCCCTTTCGTAAACGATCCCCCAATACCCCTCTCCCCCGCACTCCCGTCCTCCGTCCCCTCCTCCTCCATACCGAAGCTGGCTCCGGTGACCCAGTCGGGCAGCGGGGGTAACTATTTACTGCGAGGGGTACCCATGCCGAGCAGGGCTTCGGCTCGGTCTCATGGCGGGTGCTCTCATTGGCTGTGTCTGCTACCCCGTCTCGGTCAGCAAGGAGTTCCAGGAAGTTCCCAGCCTCCCTCCTGCCTCCTACACCCTGCCCTCCTTAGAGGCCCCTCAAATTGGGTACGAAAAGATGGGGTCGGAGGATCGCGCCGTATCGCCAATGCATCGCCGATGCATCGCCGTTAAATTGGAGACGTCGGCGATGTATCGGCGACATCGGCGACATTGGCGACATTGGCGTGGAGAGAATCGGCCTCCACATCGCGCCGCATAGGCGATGCGTCTGCGATGCGGCGGGATCCTCAGACCCAATCAATACTCGAACCCCCCTGGAGAGACCTGGAGCCAAACCCCCGACGTCATGATTTGCTCTGCAACATCGACCCACAGAGGTCTCGACCCATTCCCCGGGAGTGGCTTTCCATCCCAAGTCGCTGTTGACGGCCCCGAGGCCCGGTCAGGGCCCTCGGAGGCAGAACACAGCGATTGACCCTGCGCGGTGGTTTCTCTTGGTCCGATGGGGACTTTTCCCCGGGTCCCTCCCTCGTCCTTCCCCCCCTGCCCAAGTCCTGCTTGACCCTGGCCAGCATCCGGAGGACGCCGCCATCGCCGTCTCGGGCCTGCTGCCTGCTCCGGTCCTCCTGGGGGAGGAGGGCGGTTCTCCCAAGAGGGAAGAGACAGCATGGATGAGGAGGAGGAGGAGGAGGAGAAGGTAGCAGGAGGAGCAGATAGGCGGAGAAGGTAGGAGGAGGTCAGACCAGTAGGAAGAAAAGGAGAAGGTAGCAGGTAGGAGGTAGGAGGAGGAGAAGGAAGAAGAAGAGGGCGAAGGAAGGAGGAGGACCGGAGTAAACCGACGATGTATCAGTTATGCTGCACTACGCCGTCCCGTCCCAAGTCCTCTTCCGGCGAGTCCCTGCCAACGTTCGCTCTCACTGCGCAGAGCGCCCCTTGAAAGACAATCGCCACATGTGCCCGCAATCGGGGCGGGAGCTCCGTTCGGCCCGTCCGTCTAGTCTAGCGAGTCTAAGACCTAACGAGGTCTGAGCAAGAGCTCACACAGTGCTCTGGTGACAATGCGGAAAAATCCAAACCGACGTCTCCGCTCTGATAAAAGATCCGTCTTCGATCCATGTCCGTGTGCCCGTTGACGAGTGTGCGCGGCGCCAAGTCGAGAGTCCCATTTTGAAAACTGATCGTCTTGACGGCTCTTGACTCGGGAAAATCTGGAAGCGCCCGGAAGTTCAGTGAGAAGCGGGGCAGGGAGGATAGCCAGGCTTGAGGAGGAGAAAGACAGACGAGGTAGGATGAGGTAGAGGAAGAGGGGGGGAAGAGATAGCAGGATTATACGGAGGAAGAGGAGGAGACGAGTGTAGAGGAAATGAGAACAGGAAGCGGAGAGACGTGGGAGGAAAGGGAAGCGACTGACGAAGGGGAGCCGAGGAGGAGGAGGAGGAGGAGGTGGAGGTTGAGGAGGAGGAGGAGGACGAGGAGGAGGCTCTACGGGACATGGGGAAGAACAGAGGCCTCGCCAGCTCGCGGGAGCTGCGCCGATGTCCTCACGCCTGCACGCTGCGTTGTCGACGAGGCCGTGGATGTGGCTGCGGTTGGAACTCTCCGTCGCCGTGGCGGAGTGGGCGGCGGGGCAGGGCGCACGATGCGCGGCCGCATGCGGCAACGACGGCGGGCCGCCGGGGCTGCTCGGGTCCTTCGGAGTCAGCGCCGAGGAAGCCCGTCTTCGAGTTTCGGCTCCCTTGGTGTGCGTGGCTGCTTTGGGGTGCCACGTGTTTTTCTCCACGCGAGGGAGTGGGAGGAGACCAACCCGCAGGGCGGGGAGCGAGGGAGGACGCCACATGGGTCAACACACGACGGAGGCTCCAGCGGAGTGACGGTTGCGACAGGCAGGTTGTATGCCAAAGGTGGTACAAGGTCGCCTCGATGATGGCGACGTCTGCCTTCAGATGGAGATCGTGCCATCGCTCAGACGCCCGTTCACCGTGCACTGTTTGTTTTCGTGCGCACTTGATGCCTCTGTTCCTCAATGTGCCCACCTAAGATGGTCCTGAACTTCTCGCGCTGGCCTCGCCAAGAATAAATGCACATGTCCGAACGCTGCCCATTGATGGTGACGTCGACGATTCGGGGAGCCCATGATCGCGACGTCCGCGTTCCGAACATCGAGACTCGGGGTGTGGGCGCCGACCCACTCGATCTGGGCACCAGGCGCTCGCACATCGTCTTCTCGAGCATCGGGCGCTCCGGGCGTGGACGCGACCGCCCCTGGGAGGCGCCTCGCAGTTGCTGCCGCCCCGGAGGGGCTCCGCGTCCGAGAGGCCGCGTGGGGGCTCCAGAACTCAGTGGGACCTCGGGCAGTCGCCGAGGCAATTCGAGATCTCGTCCGCTGGCACACCCCGTCCGCCGTCGTCGCACGTGCCCGCATATTCCAGGCGCCACGCCGGGTCCTGATGGACCTCTGCGAACCTGTGATGGGGACCTCCCGCTTTCAGGCCGCGCCGCACATGATCTCGAGCGCCCCAGGCCCGGGGGCAAGCTCGATGCCAACCACGCAGTCGCCCGTCTGGTGAGCTGGTGTCCGAGGTCACCCTCCGCCCAGCGCGCCTCCCAATGCACGGATGGCTCCGCTGTGCGCCTCGGAGTGGCATCCCCTGCTCGGCCCGCTGCTCTGGGCGGGCGGGGGCCTCCCTCGGGGAGTCCGACTCCCCCTTCCGCCCGCCTCGGCCGAACCTCCGCCCCCTCTCTGCTGCCGCGGGCTTCCGTGGACCGCCGTTCTGGCCTCTGCTCGAGGGCGAGAGGTCAACCCTCTGACTCGTTGGCGGCAGGGCTTCGACTGAACTGCAGCCCATGAGCACGGAGCCCTGAGGGGAGAAAACGGGTCCTGGAAACCCTGGAGCTGCCCTGATCCAACTTCCCACCCTGGCTGCGTAGGCTTTTGGACGGCCCCGGGGCCTCGGGAAGCGCCGGCAATGTCGAACAGCACCCGGGGCCCCCTCTCCGTCAGGACCCCATCTGGCTCATGTGGCGAGAGGTCAAACCTTCCCACCCTTGACGACCAGGTCCTTCCTTTTCTGGAGCGCCCTGCCAGCGACTGGCGCGCGGCCTCGGAGCTCGCCGACCTGGGCCTGGCGCGCCGCCTCACGAGCGCCTTCAGCGCTGCCGCGGCGGGCTCGTGGCCGAGCTGCGCCGACCTCCTGTACCACTCGACCGCACCCGCCACGTCCGCGCCCGAGCCGCCCTCGCCCTCGAGCAGCGAGTCTGCCAGCCTCTTCATCGCCACCTCCTCCGGCCAGCCTCGAGCTGGTCCCCGACCCCCAGGACTGGCAAGCCAAGAGGCGAGGACAGCCTCGGGGATGCACGCTCACAGACTGGCGGCATCCCGAAGACCGACCCCAAGAGCAGATGACGGCCACCAAGGGGTGTAGGAATCTGCTCGAGGCTGGTGCTCCTCCCCGTGCTCTGCCGCTCTGCGGGTCCACGCCAGGTACGCCGTGGCGTTCTGCGGGAGGCCGCCCACCCCCACCCCGTGCGCCACGGCCACGGCCGCCATGGCGGGAGCGTAGCCCCTCTCCGCCGAGCGCGCGTACCACAAGACGGCCTCGGCGGGGTCCTGCGGCGTCCCCCGCCCGGCCTCTCGGAGCAGGTAGACAGGAGACTACACGGCAGCGCGGAATCGACCTCCGCACCCCTCCGGGGGTCCAGCCGCACCGCTTTTCCGAGTTGCGTCCAGCCCTCGCGACGACGAGGGGCAGCGTTCGGGGAGACCAGCTCAGGGGGAGACGCATCGACCTCGAATCGCCGCTGCACCGCCGATGGATCGGCGATAGGCTCCCAACAGCGAATGCGCGCGGTCCTGGGCGGGGTGGGCCATGGGGCCCCTGTCGAGGATCAATGAGCGATTGGAGGTAGCTCCTCCTCTTCCTCTCCTCCTCCTCCTCCTCTCCTCCTCCTCCCCTCCCCCTCCCCTCCCCCTCCCCCTCCCCCTCCCCTCCCCTCCCTCCCCTCCCCCTCCCCCCTCCCCTCCCCTCCCCCTCCCCCTCCTCCTCCTCCTCCTCCTCCTCCTCCTCCTCTCCTCCTCCTCCTCCTCCTCCTCCTCTCCTCCTCCTCCTCCTCCTCCTCCTCTCCGCCCTCCGCCTCCTCCTCCCTCCTCCTCCTCCTCCTCCTCCTCCTCCTCCTCCTCCTCCTCTCCTCCTCCTCCTCCTCCTCCTCCTCCTCCTCTCCTCCTCCTCTCCTCCCCTCCTCCTCCTCCCCTCCTCCTCCTCCTCCTCCTCCTCCTCCTCCTCCTCCTCCTCCTCCTCCTCCTCCTCCTCCTCCTCCTCCTCCTCCTCCTCCTCCCTCCCCTCCTCCTCCTCCTCCTCCTCCTCCCGCTCCTCCTCCCTCCTCCTCCTCCGCCTCCTCCTCCTCCTCCTCCTCCTCCTCCTCCTCCTCCTCCTCCTCCTCCTCCTCCTCCTCTCCTCCTTCCTCCTCCTCCTCCTCCTCCTCCTCCTCCACCTCCCCCTCCACCTCCCCCCCCTCCCCCTCCCCCTCCCCTCCCCTCCCCCTCCCCCTCCTCCTCCTCCTCCTCCTCCTCCCCTCCTCCTCCTCCTCCTCCTCTCCTCCTCCTCCTCCTCCTCCTCCTCCTCCTCCTCCTCCTCCTCCTCCTCCTCCTCTCCTCCTCCTCCTCCTCCTCCTCCTCCTCCTCCTCCTCCTCCTCCTCCCCCGCGAGACTATCCCCCATGCTGCTGCCCCTGAGACGGGCGCCCTGCCAGAGATCCAACTGCCGTGGTCTTGGAAGTCCTCTCGGAGCAGGGCGAGCCGAGACCACGGCGGCTCAAAATCGGTGCCCGGAGCCCTCCTGAGGTCCAGGCGCACCCAGTTCCCGAGCTGCGTCCACCCGTGGCGATGAAGGCCCCGCCCAGCAGTCCAACTGCCGTGGTCTCAATTCTAGGAAGCCCACAACGGACGTGGGCGCCCAACCACGTACACGAATGCGGCCCCCCAGTCCGAGAGACTAGCCTCGCGACACGAACGTTCGCGCAACGCGTACTCCTCCGACACTACACGTGTATATACGTGCACGTGTGCGTCCTCCCGTCGCCCCTGAAGTTCGCCCTCCCCTGAGCCTCACAGGCGATGGCCAGGTGGTGCATCGCCACGGCGTGCCCCTGCTCTGCCGCGCTCCTCAGCCAGGGCACGCCCTCCGTTGGGGCCCGGCGCCACAGCAGATCGCCGTGCACGAACTGGGCGTGGGGGTCGCCAGCGGCCGCGGTCTCGAGGTACCAGGGCGACGACCCGCTCGAGCACGACTCCGCGCTCGGCTTGAGCCAGACCGCCAGGGAGAACCGCTCCCCGCTCAGCACCTCCACCCCGTGCCTGAGGGTGAAGTCGTGCATGACGGCCTCGCCCGCCTCCAGGGCGACGAATTCGCGCCCCTCGGCGCTGTACCCGGGCTGCACGTAGAGCCCGCCAGTGTACGCGCTCGCCGGGCTGAGCGCCACCACCATCGTCATGAACGCCTCTCTGTCGTGGTGCCGCGGATGCCGCAGCCTCTCCCCGGCGAGGTACCGCCGGACGATCGCCGTGCAGGCGACACACCCGCTGCAGTTGGCGGCGTTCCGCGCGTAGGGCAGCAGCCGCTGGTCCAGGATCGGGCGGAGCTTCGCCGCCAGGGCCGCGTCGACGGGGAGGCCCTTGGACAGGATGTTGGCCTGGAAGGTGGGCTTCCTGGTGGCGGCGCGCAGCACAGGGGTGGAGCGCGCGAGGAAGCCTGCCTTAAGACGGAGGGGGGGGCTTCCTACACGCTGCAGGCCCCGTCCCGGAGGGCAGTGGGCCTCCGAAAGGGCGGGAGGGGTCCAGAGAGGCAAAGCGCCCTCTTGGAAAGCCGCCGCTTGCCCGGCCCCCTTCCCAGACGCCCGACGCCGTGATCTCTGCGACAAAGCCCCCAGAAGCCTGGACCCCTTCCCGGGAGCCGGCTTTCCATCCTGAGTATAATTAATTGTTTGATTGCCCCGGGGCCCAGTCATAGCCCCCAGGTGTCGAACACTGCCTGAAGTGTTCCGCGTTTCTCTCTTGAGCCAGCAACAATGCCAAAGCGAATGAT